TGTACGCGGTGTTAGATATCCAATTGAATGTTTAAGTAATATGATATTTATGGAAAAATTAAGAGAATCAAAACAAAAGGAGAGGGGCTGGCACTGTGGTATAGTAGGCCAAGGCTCCACTTGTCAGCGCAGGCATCACATATGAATGCCAGCTTGTGTCCCTTCTGCTCCTCTTCTGATCCAGCTTCCTGCTTATGACCTAGGAAAGCAGAAGATCCTGAGGACTTGGGCCACTGCAACCACATGGCAAACAAGGAAGAAGCACCTGGCTCCTGGCTTTAGATTGCCAGCTCTGGTCATTGAGGTCATTTGGGGAGTGAACCAGATGATGGAAGACCTCTCTCTTCCTCTCCCTTCGTTCTTTTGTAACTCTGCCTCTCAAATAAACAAATTAAATCTTTTTTAAAAAAGGAGAACACATATCCAGAATTTTCTAGTGTAATCAATAGCCTGCAATTATTTAAACTAATAATAATTTTCAGTACTAGGTATGATATTATAAACAGAAATTTTATTGAAAATGTGTGTTTTCCTTATTTCCATGTAGTTCTTTTAAGAATAAACTTTCATATATATATATATATATATATATATATATATGAACAACTAACTGGTTGAAATACTGTCCACAGTGTTTGAATTTGCTTTAGCTCCATTCTGTCCACATGCCTTTGGTTAATGATTGCACAGTATTAGGTCATTCACATACTGGTACCATCTCCTGAAGGCCTAAGAAGTGAAGACACGTGACTGGCTACACTGAGAAGACAGAAGGAACTGTGCAGTTACCTAGAGGAGACAATGGATCCCAGACGTTATGTGATGGAATTAAATGATGGTAACATCATACCTGTACTGGGATTTGGCACTGCTGCACCTATAGAGGTAAGTAAGCATAGTGTTCTTAGGATTGAATGTAAAATGAAATAGAATGTATATTAGTGGAAACCAACCTCAGTTTTGGAGTTACTTAGTTATCTCTTTAAAGACCCGATTTCCAGTGTCTCTGAGCAGGGGTGGGGGATGGTTATGTTCTAAGTTTCACCAGCCTGGAGCACAAGACAGAGGGTACTTAGACTTAGTTCTGCATCAGGTTCTGATCTCTTGATCACCTGTTGATTTTTCTCACCAGTGCTGGATTCCCTCCTTTTTAATCTTTCCCAGTTTGGCAGAAAAGATGAAAGTCAAGTCAAGAAGCTGTCTTTTTAAAGGTTGGCAGCCATGGGAGTGGTTTCTTTTCCATTTCATGGCTGAAACATTTTTTTCTCCTTGCAAGTAGACAAGATAGATGGAAATTTCTGTGGATGAACTACTGGGATAGATCATTAATAGAGTCCGGGTCAACTGCTCTGGGGTAACCTTGAGAATCACGCTGTAAATAGTGGACATGGGTTAAGCAGATTTTCTCATGTAGTACTGTGTCATCTGGGAAAATACCAGAAAGGAAAAGGTAACATGTTAGAGGATAATTGGAACATAATAAGAGTATGTCTAAATTACTAGTCCTCATTAATGTATGCTGTATTTAAGGAAATTGGTATCTGGGGCTCTCTGAAATGAAAGTCAGTATAGTGAATAATTTATTAGAGTGAGGAGGATTTTTAGGACTAATATTATCCCTAGGTCCTGAAATTGTGTAACAAAGGACCAATTACTTCAGAATTGAAGTCCCCATTTTCTCCTGTCTTTGATAAAAGGAAATCTTAAAGTGGCAATTTTGGAGACATGTGACAAGACTTGGTTATTTTCAGGGCAATGTGTCATGAAGGGCATGGATAATGAAGGACAATAGCAGACCTTTAGCCTTAGTTCATTTCTTTGCCTTACCCCCAGGTCAGCACCGGATTGGTGTCAGGAGAGAACAGTAGCATCCAGTATCTACTTTATTTGGATTTCATTAAAAATAATCAATTTCTCAAATTCTTAAAGCAAATGGTGTGAGCTTGATTTCCTTTCTGATCAATACACTGTCAATACACTGTCAAATCTTTATTGAAATTTTGTAGACATAACTAAAAGTTTTAATTTTACCCTAATTATAGCCACTCTAAAGTAAGTGACTTTGATTTTAAGACTGACACCTAATTTAATTATCCCTTGCATGATACTGTTAAGTTCTTACACATAAATTTATATCCTTTAATTATGCATTTTTACTATGACTGTTTAGTTTTGTGATGCAAACCAAGTGACTGTGTAGAAAATATTAAACATAATTTACTGATGTCTCTTGAATTATTTATTTTCATAGTGGTTCCTGGCTAGCATCTGTGAACATAATTTACCCCATTCCTTAACTGGTAAGGATGGTGGCTGCATCAGAATTCTTTTGAGAAATGAGTTTAAGTGTAACTGCTTTACTGTGGGAGTGTGCTTACTGTGTTTTCCCATGGGAGAGTGGTGCAGAAGGCCTACATAATCTGCCTCCAGTGAATAGTTAGGAATGAAATCTCAAGACTTCATTTAAGCAGCATTCCTCATGTGTTGTCATCATTCCATGATGGAGTAATGTGGTGTGATCGCGTATGACTACACTGCAAGGGAGCTCATAGAAGCTTGTATTGTGT